TACAGGGAAGTAGAAATTCATGGGATAGAAATTCTGCTGCTGAACTAAACCTGATGATGAAATGGGCACCTTCCTGTATGCATAAATTACCAGAGTTCATCTCTAGTTTATTACAATAAATAGAAGAGAAAAACCAGTAATAGCCCTAAGTAGGAACGGCTAATGGTGGGCCTTTAGGTCCCAATCATAGAAATTCATTGCTACAGCAAAAGCAGTGAATTACCATAAAGTTTGTTTATATTCCAACTGTGAGGGGGTCTGAATCCCAAGAAGTCCAGGACACTTTGGCAAGAGAAGACTGTGCCTTAAAAAGGCCTACACATAAGAGTGGTAAAGAAATCCACTTGAACAGATGCGTAAAACAACACAAGAATACAAGATATATGAAAATACAAGGTAACACATGGCTCATAAAGTTCATAATTCACTAACTACTGACCCCAAAGAAACTGAATTGGATGAAATATTTAATAAATAAATAAAATGAATGGTTATAATATGATCAGTCAATACCAAGAAAATGTAGAAAAACAGCTGTGTGAATTAAGGAAGTCAGTAGAGAATGTGAATGAAAAATTTGTGTAATTTATTGTTGAGGATTGGAATTTACCATTGCAATTGGTTGATTCATTAAGCAAGAGCATTTTTCTGTTATAGAATTTGCTGAATAGCATGATGAAGGCTACAGAAATTCATTTACTTGATAGTTGTTCCAAAGAATTTTTGCAAAATCTATATTTCTGGAGACAATTAAATCACATTTCTGTTATGTCAGAAGCAGTAAAAGAAGGCTGATGGTGATTTCCCTAAGTCCCATGATCCAATATGTAAAGAAGAGGAAACATTGTTTAAATTCTTCATGTATTGCCAGTGGGGATGTCACTGGAGCCCATAATGTTTGAAGCAGTGGCCAGGCTCTGTGTGGACCATCAACAATCAAAAGATGCAACACTGATTATTGGAGGAACCTGTTCCTAGTTTTGGTGAGGAACAAGCAGGCTGCACAGAAACACACTACACTATGCCCACAACTGTTTGTCCCAGAATTAGGGAATAGAAAGTGTCAGCTTCTATTTGAAATGGAAATTTACTGTGATTTTTCAGACACTTTCCTTATGAATTACTGCTGGATGGTGAAGATCTTTGCCTAGACTCCACAACTCCCTAGAAGTTTCATTAAATGGGTTACGTGAGGTTGACAGTTGCTTTCTTGGAAATGCCAGTTCCGGGATGTTCTGATCTATGATGTTTGTGACATCACTAAGTAATGCTTCCAGAACAATGTTAATATTT